GAGGCGGTTCTCGCCGTGCCGTCCAGTCTCCGCTACCCCGATCATGTGCCGATAAGGCGCGTTCTCCCAGCATAACACAAACTGAGAGTGCACAGAGGTACGCGTGCACACGCACACACGTAAACAAGCACACGTTCTCTCATGCGTGCGGCCTACATGCCGTTCACGCGCGTGAGCACCCAGCACACAGCACACAGCACACAGCTTACAACACACCGCACCCACTCCCACACCCACACACGCACACGCCTACATCCGCCTTCACATACACGCACACACACACGCACGCCTACGCACTCTGTGCAGACAAGCAGTCATACAAGCACTTTTCTTTCCTCCGCAGCGTTGGGTCAACAGCCCGTCGAAGAACGGCGGGACGCGCGAGCGAAAGTGCTCCGCAGCGTTGAGTCAACAGCCCGTCGAAGGATTGCGGGTCGCGCGAGCGACATTGCATTCGAGGGTGTGTCGAACGCGCTCCAGCCACGGCCGTGAAATCCCGGGTGGGGGGCAGGCTAAGGCGAGCGGGACCAAAAGGAGAGAGGCGACGTGCAAGCGACAAGCCGTTCTACTGACAGCCGCGGCCGAGACAGAAGCAAGACCGCGCCAAGCGAGGCTGACGAGAAGGAATATTCGGGCCGTGACGTAGCACGAGAAGAAGGAGAGACTGGGCAGGCAGAACACCACGAGCGCCAGCGCAGAGCACCGCCGAAAGTGGCGTGCGAACCGCGGCTGTCTGGAGGAGCGGAGCGAGTAGCTAGAGAAGGCAATGCTGACAGAGGGAGGACAACTGGTGATGACCTAACGGCCCAGGGAAGCGGGGGCGGTCCCATGGAAGCAATCGACCCGGCCAGCGCCGGTGAAGCAGGGCGCGTCAGCTGCAGGCGGCAGCGGACGAGCGCCCATGCGCACGGAAGCCTTGTTTGGCTGGTGGGCCGACCGAGCGCAGAGCGTGCGGTCGCGTGCACGGCGAAAGGAGGGACGCGACGACCACGCGACGTGGCGAGATGAGGCCGAGGCCGAACAAGGCGAGAGCGGTGAGCGACAACGATCGACGAGAGAGGAGAGTGGCAAGGCAGGATTGCGACCACCGCCGTAGAGTGTGGACAATATTCATGATTCTGCCAAGCACACGCACACACGCGCACACACGCACACAGCCCCACACACACGCGCGAACACACGCACGCACGCGCACATACGCGCACACTCACGCGCGCACACACTCATACTTACACGTGCATTTCGGCGAATCTCTTATTGCGAAGGCCTTACGGCCGTTGCCGCCGACCCTGAAGATGACGAAAGACAACACGAGGGGGGGGGCACGAGGAGGAGGAGGAGGAGGAGGCGGAAGGGAGTAGGAGGAGGAAGGGTGAAGGGGGAGGATGAGGAGGCCTTATGGATGTTGGTTGGGATCTCGTGGTTGACCTCTCGGTGGCGTCTGGAAGGCAACTTGAAGCCTCTTGGGGGCCGTTGTGGGGCCTCGTCGGGCCTCTTTGGGGCCTCTTGGGGCTTCCGGAGGCCGTCTTCGGCGCATCTTGGGGGCGTCTTGGCGCCGCTTGGGGGCCTCTTGGGGCCTTTTGGGGGCCTCTTGGGGCTTCCCGGGGGCCTCTTAGGGCGGAAGTCTCGAATTCTCGGTTCCTCGTCCCCCTCTTGGCCGTTTCTTGGGCCCGTCTTGGGGCCCTATTGGGCCGTCTTGGGCGCCTCTTGGGCTGTCCTGGGGCCTTCTTGGGCCGTCTTGGGGCCCTCTTGTAGGCCTCTTGGTGCGCTCTTGGGGGCCTCTTGGGGGCCTCTTGGGCCGTCTTGGAGTGTCGACAAGCCGAAAAGGCGAGAAGGCCGAAATCATTCAAAAACCGATGTAAAATTGACGATTTTGGCTCCTGGGGCCCTCTTGGGAGTGCTCTTGGGGCTCTCTTGGAGCGTCTTGAGGGCCTCTTGGGCCGTCTTCGGGCCGTCTTGGGCGTCTTGGGGCGATCGTTCGTCGAGTCGAGGCCCTCTTGTACCCTTTTGGGGGTGTCTTCTGGCGCTCTTGGCTCGTCTTGAAGCTTTTCTGAGCTCCGGGACCCCCCGGGGAGGATGCGTATCTGGGTGGCGACCCCCCCCGGCGACCCCCCCCCCCCCCCCCCCCCCCCCCGGCGGGGAGGGTAGGGAGGGGCTTCGCCACGACTCAACTACGACGTTGCTCAATGTCGCTTTGGCTCGCGCGCTCAAGGAGACGGGGAACGACGAAGATGACGAGGGACAACGGAGACGGAGACGACGAGGACACGACGGAGACGACGACGACGACGACGACGACGATGACGACGACGACGACGACGACGGTGATCCACGCAAGACGACGACACCGGGATGCGTCTTCCACACGCCGACAGGGTCGGCGGATTCTCACACCTACCTCCACATTCAAACATACATGTGCACATACTCTTTTACATTCGCTTGTGTCTAACCTTCCACATGCACTTACCCTTTCAGTTGCATTTGCCTTTGCACCCACGCTTTTGCGGTCACGTTTACTCGCTCTGCCGCCTAAACTGACACATGCACGTGCACTTTTGCGTACACTTGAAATTGGTTCTGCACCTGCACTTGCACTTTAACTCACACTTGAACATGTACTCACGCGTGAGCTTGATCTTCTCGAACACACTCTTGCACTTTCACTTGCACTTGTAATTAAATTTGCCATTGCACTTGCGCTTGCTATTGCAGCTATACTCACACTTGCTCTTACAGTTTCACTTTCACCTTCGCTTGCACTTCCACGTGCGCTCACACTTGCACGCACACTTGCACGCACACTTACGTTCTAACTTACACCAATGCTTGCATTTGCAGTTGCACTTTCACCTGCACGTGCAACCGCACTTGCACTAACAGGTACAACCGCCTTTGCACTGACAATCGAACTAGCGCTTACACTCAATCTTGCACTACTTGCGCGTGCACTGGTTTTTCACATACACGTGCCCTTGCACCCACCTTACTCCCACTGCACTCTCATACTTGCACTCCTTGACGTTTCGCGCATCCCCGCCATCCCATTCAGACACGATTGCCCAGCGGGTTGCCCTGATCATCGAAGCGTGAGAGCATGCAGCACGCCGTGACACACATACGCACACACACTGACACAAACACACACAAACACAACCACAAACACCTACACCTACACAAACACAAACACAAACAAAACCACACACAAACACAAACACAACCACAACAACAACAAACACAAACACAAACACAGACATACAATCACAAACACAACAACACACACAAGCACAACCACAACGACAAAGACAAAAACAACGGCAACGACAAAGACAGAGCCACAGACACAGACAACGCCAAACACAACCACAACCACGAACACACAACACACAACCACAGCAACAGACACAACGACAAACACAAACACACAGACACACAAGCCCCACAATCACAACACACAAACACAACGACAACCACAACCACAAACATAACCACAAACACAGACACAAGCACAAGCACAACCATACACACAGACACACGCACACACACTAACACAAGCACAACCACACACAAACACAAACACAACCACAAGCACACATGCAAACACAAGCACACACACAACCACAACCACACACACAAACACACACAACCACACGTACACAAACACACACACCCACAGACAACGACACATACAAATACACACAAGCACAATCACACACAAGCACACACACAAGCACACGCACAAGCATTAGCACAACCACAAACACAAACATAAACACAAACATACATACACATACACACAACCACAAACACACACACAACCACCAACACAACCACACACAAACACCACCACCAACACCACCACCAACACTAACGCCACCACCAACATCAACACTAACACCAACACCAACACCAAGACAACCACAAACACAACGACAATCACACACAAGCACACACCCAAGCACAAACACACCTATAAACACAAACACAAAGACACACAAGCACAAACACAAACACAACACACACACACACGAATGTGCACACGCACGCACGCACGCACGCCCGCACGCACGCACGCACACACAATTCATACAACACACACAACACACAGCACACACAAGACACACAACACACACACAGACACACGCACACAACACACAACACACACAACCCACAATCCACACAACCCACAATCCACTACACACAACACACAGAACACACACACACCACCCATCAGACACACCACACACCACACAGCACACAAGACACACACCACACACAACACACACAACACACACCACACATAACACACAACACATACAACACACACACTATACCACGCACACACCACGCACACAACACACACAACACAGACCACACACACACACCGCACACATCACACACCACACAGCACATACAACACACAACACACACACACACCACACACACACAACACACAACACACAACGCACACAACACACACAACCCACACACACCACCTAACTCATAACACACAACACACAACCCACGCACCACACTCAACACACACACACAGCACACAAAACCCGCAACACACAACTCACACACAACACGCACAACACACGCAACACACAACACGCAACACACACAGCACACAACACACAACACACACACCACACAACACACAACACACAACACACAACACACACAACACACACAACACTTACACACACCACACACAACACATACAGCACACACAACACACAGTACACACACCAGACAACATACAACACACAACACACAGCACACCTACCACACAGCACACGCAACACACACACACACCCCACACACACCACACGCACACACCCGACACACACAACACACACAACACACACAACACAACACACACTACACACCACGCACACAACACACAACACATAACACACACAACACACAGCACACACAGCACACAACACACGCACAACACACATATACGCACACACACACACACACGCGCACGCACG